TATATATATATATATATATATATATATATATATATATATATATATATATATATATATATATATATATATATTAGGGCAAATTGCGCATCACCCCCTGTAAATTTCTAATGTTTGCACATTACCCCCTCAAAAATTTTAAAAGTGAATGTCCCCTTCAAAATGTCATTATTGTTGCACATTGCCTCAATAGCAGCAAAAATCAGATGGATTATTCATCAGAATTGAGTATTTTTGTTGTACATTGCCCCTTAAAAACTCTAATTTTTTGCACTTTGCCCCTTTAAGATGTTATTTTTGCTGCACAATGCCCTAAAAAAATTGGCTTCTGAGGCAAAATGCAACTAAAATAATAATTCGAAGGGGGTATCCCTTTTTTAAATTTTTAGGGGGAAAGTGCGAAAATGGAAAATCTATGTATTATTATAATACATAATACTGTTATGTAATATGCCAATGAATCAACAGCAGTTACCCAACTTATTAAAAATATTATGATTTATTATATAATACAAATTAAATTAAATTTTGTCTATTTCACAATCATACACTGAATAAGCACATTAATGTAAAAGAAATTCAGGAAAAATAAATAAATTAAAAGTAATACAAATTATAATACTAAAAACAATCTTCTAAGAAATGCAGCTAATGTTTCCACATAGCATGGAAGTTAGCTCATCGTTAAGAGGGTTGCACATTTTCCGAAGAAGATTCCGAAACAAGAAAAGAATATTCGAAATCAAAGCATCCCACTGCATATAGTTATAGTGATTCTCGTTATCGATGAGGGAAATCATTCGAGGGACTTGAATTCTGCATAGCGGACACGTGGAGTGGGACCCGAACCACGCGTCGATGCAGTGTTCGTGGAAGCAGTGGCGGCACTCCGGAAGTTTCCGGTGGCTGTCACCGCTGCCAATGTCGTTGAGGCATATGGCACAGAACGGTACCGGACTCTCCCGGGAGATGGCGGCGGCTGAGTGGCGGTCTTGGCCGTGGATTTGGTGCTGAGAATCCATGTGTGATGTGTTGTGGTATAACTTTTTTTTTTTTTGTGTATTTCCTGGTGAATCATGGCTTATGTAATGTATGTATATATATATAGATCATGCAAAACACATAGTAAAGTGTGTGTTGCAAATGGATGTGTGTGGAATGGCCTGGTCGTGCACGTTTTTGTTAATTAAATAATCAATCAATTTAGTTTGTTGATTGAATTGGAAAATTTTGAAAGTAAGCTCCTAGTTTTTTTTTTTAATTACCGTGCACCCGCAACAACCAACTGTATAAGTGTACTGGATAAATCGACACTCTCGTATAATATTTTGCTAATGACATGAGAGATGTACACTACATTGGGCTAATCATGTGTTACAAGTTTCACCTGAGGACCGTTGGCAGATAATTCGAATTTGGGTCAATTTATACGGACTCACTTACGCCAACTGCTAGACCATCGCTTGCTCGGTAGCTAGGTTGTTGAATTCTTGAAAACATTTCAGCTAAGGAATGCTATTTTTTTATGTGAGAGAAAGTCAAAATTATGGCCCCAAAAGTAAATAAAATAATCATGAATAAGACATCATATTACAAGTCAAAAATCTCTCATCTTGAAGTTGAATTCTTACTAATCTTAAACCTTATTATGAATATAGTTTTATTTTTTTGCTGATTATTATTTAATTTTACATATGGGAAACTTATAAAATACAAATAGCAATTAACTCAACCATATTTTTGTAAAATCATGTAAAAGTAGAAGGTTTTTTTTGCAATTTATTCAAAAGTTATTAGAGGGTATTTTCAATTTTGTGTTATTCTATCTGAAAATTACATAATAGCCTCAACTCTCGCGCGTGAGCTGCAGTGAGGCCCGTGAGGTCATTATTGCTAATATTGATAACAGAGGGGTTGTTTTACAATTAAATGAAACAGAGGGGTGCCCGAAGAAAACCCAAACTTATTAACAAACGAAAGAATTATTTTCACTTTCGGCTCCGCGGGTTTGTAAATTAGGATCGCTTCCGTGCTCGGCTATGGCTTTCCCGCCACTTCAGCACCAAATCAAATCGTAAGTTCGTCTTCCTGAAAAAATCAATTGAGATTTAATCTCTTATTTTTAGCTGATAGCTGTTGATTGTTGATTCAGTTCTTTCTTCGATTAATATAATTAATTATGTTTTACGCATAATGGCAAATTGGTACTCTGTGATTTGTTGTTCTTCGATTTAATCGCAGTAAATGATGATTTCTTCGGTGTTAAGGGAATGTTTGTACGAATATGAACATAATTATGTGATGCATTTAATAATTTATTTATTTATTCTCGAGTTGTTGTTTCTGATTTCTATATGTTTATATTTGAATTTATGATGTATGGAGGGGAAAATGTGATTTGATAGAATACGCATTTTACATGTTCGCACTGTTCGGTTTGTAGATTTTGTTGAGGAAATGAAAAGAAAACGATAGGAAAACTGCAGTGTAATTGCCGTCGCCGATTCGGAAATAATTCAATTTTCATCAGCTTAGGAAAATTTGGAAACTCCTATGGCTATTTTTGGTGTTGCCCTTGTTCGTTAGTTTCGTAGTAAAACTAACAAACATGAAATTTTGTCATTCTATGGTTCTACGATTCTATGAACTCTAAAAAGATTGACGAGAAATAGTGGAGACGTCTTCTTTTGTATAATGTTAGTTAAAACTTACCAAATAGACGAGATTAATCCTAGAATTCACCCAAAAATAAAGTCGGAAGACCCTCTAAATAACATAGAGCAAAAGTTTAGTATTCGATTGTGCTAAATGTGATTCCAGATTGCCGAATTTGACATGCTATTAAATTTGGTAAGCGTAAGTAGTTGGTCGAGAGAAGTATAATGTTCTCAGTATACGTGTATTATTTAAGCATAGGCGAAAGTACATAAGTATTCTAACTTCATCCTCAAATGACAGAAGAGAAGAATTTTAGACTTGATTCTCAAAGTGGAGCATACGAAACTGTTTCCTTATTTATAGATAGAGAGTCTAGAAAATACTCAGAAAGTGCTGAACACAATGTAGCGAGTCTAATTGGGCTTTGAATCGATAACATTTGTGAGGGGGCGGAACCCGTGCTCAAGGCTGGCTTGCCATATCTTTTCAATATTGAACATCATATCTCCACACTCATTCACGTTCCATTCTTCCATAGCATGCAGTATTCCTGCTATGCGCCACGCACTCATCACTCTTCTTGGCAGCCAATTCTGTTGTATGCATGAAATTTAAAATCACGAGATATATATTTTTTTTTGTTTTTCAATTTTCAAAAGGGAAATAGTAATTGAAACGTATAGAGTTTTTATCACTAACCTCACAAGAGTCGACATTTTCTAGATGCTTGGGGGCCAACATTGCTGGTGTGGTATTGTAGAAGCAATCTTTGCGCATTTTCTTTGGTGGAAACTGTGAGAACGGAATGAATATTGTTCCTTTTGGTGCATTTAACTGTTCTTCTTCACTGAGCCCGTCTCCCACTAACCATGTCTGCATAAATCAATAACATGTATTAGAATGCTTCATCTATAAACAAATTATGTTAGATTTTTTTTTTGAAATATGTAGAATATTTTTTTTTTTTTTTGTTTTTTTCATGTAATAAAAGAGTTCTATAATTCACAAGATTCATGGTTTGTGATCTAGTAGATAAAGGAAATATTAACCTTGGGAGTATTGCTTTTAGAGAGAACCAAATTGTTTCCAGCTTCTTTGCTGAGCTTTGCTTGAAGTTTCTTGTACTCGTCGTTGGACATTGTAAATACCTGTTGCAATCATAAAGGAGCATGAACTAAGCAAATTAACGGAGAAAAATGTAATCATGCTTTTGTTGCAGCTAGAACATTTAACTTAAGAGCGCTATTCGTAACTTCCACATTTGTAAATTGCTAAACGTACCTGGATTCCATCTTGGCATAAGGCAAGGGCAATGGAGTAAGCAACCTTTGATAGGTTTCCTTTAAGGACAACCTGAGTTGTTCCTTTCGGAATGCTGTTTATTACAACAGCAACCACTAGACTACTCCCATCGACCAACTTCACTTTTAGCTGAGGTTGTCTTTTCAAGAAAAGCTCGCCGTTCTTGTTAAGCCCCTCTTCCTGCATCACATGAACAAGGATTAAATAACTGATAAGCTCAACACTTTAACACATTTATGCAAAAGTATTTGTATTGTAGGCCTATTTAAACTTGCCTGGTTCAACAGACCGAGGCTCAACACTCTAACACCTTTGTCCTCCGCTTCTAGTATACTGTTCTCAATCATAGTATTTATGATCTCTTTCTGCCATTGCATGTAGTACTGCAATGACATGAAACAACTAGCGTCAGAAAACTTCCATTTTTTTTATTACAACATATGAAATACAATCAATGAGATATTTACTTGGATGCTGTATTTAGGAATTGCCCATGTTTGCAGTTTCAGGTTTTTGAAGACGTTTCTTTCGACAGTGAATGTGCGGCCGTAAATCCAGGTGATCATCATCGACCAAACTGTGACGGGCCACATCAACCACAAGTACCAGTTAGATTTATGTGGCTGAGATGCTAAGTATGGGAATCCTAGGCGGAGGTGATAAATCGATTCTGGTGTTGTGAGATGAGTCAGATGCACCACATCAGGTGACTCTTCCTCTCTAACGAGTGATTTTTCGTATAATGTGTCGCTAGATTTGTCCATTGTACCATACACATAATCGTAGAACGGCATGAAAAGTGAGTAGTTGGTTCGAAATTGGGTGTGATGCAGCGAATGGTACCTGAATCATCAAATATGCCATCAGTTACGATTTAACACGTTTAAGCATGTTGATTTATTAGTTAAGGAAAATAATACTTATTCATGCATCAACGTGAAAAATACTCTCGGAATATCATACTTTCTTTAAATGAGTTTTTCTTAGAGAAACTAAAATATTTTCTTGTATTTCTAAGAATCTAACATGATTTCAATATTTATTTAGCAAATAAAGTTGTGCCATTAATCACTGTATATATATATATTTACTATGTTACTGGTGATATGTTGTAAGTATAAGGGGATAAAGTAGGTAAATAAATTAATGTCAAAGTACCAGAGAAGATTTTATAAGTTACCTACCCAAAAGGTATTGAAATAAAGGCACTGTCTTATCTACATCAATTTATTGCATAGACAACAGAAATCCTTATTGGGGAAAAGTAGTTGAGTTTAGTAGTAAGTGTTGGCAAGATGTTTCGACCAAATTGATTATGGGTCAATTTTTTTGGGGTAATTGGGCATCTTTTGTAAATAAGTACTTCTGTAAAATTACCAGCCATCTAAATCTGCTGTGTTGTATGTGTGTGAAATATACGGTGAGATTATACACATGTGTGTGTGTGTGTGTGAAATATGTAGTGAGATACTCAGTCGGTGCATGGCATCTGGTGTTACATTTTTCAAATAGTTTGTGGGGAAAAAAGTTAATAAATAAAGAAAATGAAAAAAAAATTGTAGAAATAATTAGGATTTTTTCCAATCGTAAAAAAAAAAAAAAGAGAGTTGAATTCATAGGTTAAGATACTTACGAAGGTGTGTACATGAGGTACTTGAGTGGGGGGAATGCTGAGAAGAGCCATTTGGGAATGAGCTCAAAGTTGCAGTGACCCATGTTGTTCATAAAGTCGATATAAGTTAGATAAATAGTAATTGCGAGTATCGAACCATTCCCCATGAAAAGAGTGGTAAGCAACGGTATCGAAAACAGGAGGTAGTACGAGATATGCTCCGCGAATGGATGAATTACAGCTGCAACAATCAATCAAAATCATACTCCTTCAAAAAAAAAAATACGATTTTATTCGAGGACTAGTGGATAATTGCATAGTTTTCTTACATGTAATAGGCTCGGTAACAATGGAAGAGTGGTGGTGGGAATGGTAGCGCGAGTAAAGAAAGTGGTGGTGCAACGCCCTATGCAGCCAGTAGTAAAGAAACTCCACAGGACCAGCGTGTAATAAAAACGTCCATATAAGCCCGTCTGTGCTCCACCACGGAACACGCTGAGCATACTTAATGAACATGATTGCCGTGTACATAATTATCCCGTTAAGTATAATTTGGTCGTCCCTGCAAAAAAAAAAAAAATCCAGTTTCTTGATTTTGATTAGAAATTACCTAACAAAAAAAAAAAAAAACAAGCGTAGTTCGAATTTCTTTGAGAACCACGTTACCAGTTTCTCTCTCTATCTACTTGCTCGAACTCGATGCTCTTATCAACTATCCTGTTGTTCCCCTTTGCTGTTCGATAACGAGAGAGCGAAATCCATATCAGGTTGTGCACCGCTCTCGATATAAGGAGAGGTAACACGAGAAAAGATGATAAGTACTTCCGGTTATCATCCTTCGTCAGAAATGAGTATGTTGCAGGTACTGCCCATGGCGCCAATACCAGGTACTAAATCAAAAAAAATAAAAAAAATAAAAAATTAAAATCAAATTAAGTATAACAAAGTTCATAAATACTAACACAACCTTTTTTTTTTTTTTTAACTAATGCAGATAAACGAAGCACCTTGAAGTTGCCGAGCCATGTCCATGGCCATTCGGTAAGAATCCCTGGTTTAGAAGCCATCTTTTTCTTCTTTTTCTTCACTAACTTTCTCTATTATGTGTTCAAATGCCAAATGAAGAAGATTGCATTTATATACAAAGGCTAATAACTAACACACTTAAATAAAGGAGCGATTTTTAATTGGATGTTTTAATTTCGCAATACCTAACTGCCATGTGGGAGCTGTTTTCGCAGTATTTCTTTCGTCATACTTTAATTGCACTCGAAACGAACATTGAATTCACCCAACCTATTCTTGTGTGTAGTCTGTGTTTATTTTGCCTTCAAATTCGGTGCACTAGAGGAATAATTCAGCATGCTGTCAATTTTTTTCTTCCCATGCAGTTGTATTAAGGTCCACGTATAGCTGTTATAGTTTCTGGTGGGTGCATTTATTCGTCTCACTAGTAGCCAATTGGGCGGGGCCACTCTATTGTGGTTTAGCAGTAACCAGCAGTTATTGAACGGCATATACATCGAATATTGAAACAAAGATCATCATCTTTTTTGTGCTTCCTTCAATTAAGGTTAGTTTTCGATTAAAATTTTCGCATTATGCTTTGGAAAAAGACCAAATTTACATCCTATTATTTGATTTTTAACTGTTTTTTTTTTTTTTTTTTTCTCATTGAGAATTCGAAAACTGAAATGGTAAATACATGACGCGTTTTAGTAAACGTCTGATGTTTTTTTTTTTCACTTTTAACTTTTAACCACGTTCCACTCATTTATTATGTCTCGAACACTTTCGTTCTAAATAAAAATTAAACATCTCCATCCTTATGTGTTGACTTATTACATATAGTGTTGATGAAATTTGAAATTCGAATTAGGTTTTTAACTTTCAGAATTAAATTAAATTTGTTTCAGGTGCAAAACCTAGCAAAAAAAAAAAAAAAAAAAGATGTTAGCACATAAATTGAAAATATTATTCCACTTTCAAATTTCAATCGTATTATGCTCGAAATCTAATAAACCTATGCCATTCGTGATTAATGATGTGGTATTCTCACAAAATAATATCGTCGAAAACTTATAGGAAACTGTTTTTGTAAAATAAGATGAGGCAGGTATTAGTTTTTTTTATTTTTTTTCCTAAATAAAATGCTGGACGTTTACTAAAAACCGTCATATAATCAAGTCCCATTCGAAAAACATAGAGACCTCATGGTTATTTCTTTTTTACTTCCCTTGAAAATGTAGAAAATTGAATCTCGATTGTGGTCATACTCATTAGCGGAGCCAGTATTTTAAGTCGGGGGCCGACGCATTAGAAGATTTATGTGGAGGGACCGTTAATGCTTTTGTACATAAATTTTTGATATTTCTAAATAAATTTATAGAGATTTGAGAAATGTCGGGGGGCCGTGCCCCCCGCCCTAGGCTGGCTCAGCCACAAGCCATACTACCTTCTGCAGGGCAATAATGGTTTGCTTCTTATTCCAATTGCAGAATTCAAAGTTGTACGGCAACAAGTTGGGTTTACCGTTGATCAGCATTTATATTCCAATTATGGCTTTGGCAGTCTCAAATGAAGCTTTATGCAGGTTTTTTTCTTCTCACTTGCTCACTTTTTACTCTCTTGGCCTATCAAATTTATTATTTTTTTTGCAGAATTAAATGAACCTAAAATAATCACCGTTCAGTTAAGGTCAAATTACGAAAAAACTTTCATATTTGGGTAATTACAACTACTCTCCTTAACTATGTATTTTCTTACACGTCCATCCTTACAATGTTGAATTTACCTACTGAAATAGGGTTTTTTTTTCGTAAGACGATACATAGTTGAGGGGGTGGGTGTAATTACTGAAACAAGAGAGGGGTTTTCGTAATTTGATCTCAGCTCGGAGAGGTGGCCGTAATTTACCCAAATTATATTTGTAAGTTACCTACATGCATTTCATGCGATAAGGTCAAATTACGAGAAAAGAAAACCCTTGTGCTTGGGTAATTACAACCACCATTCAATTATGTATTTTCTTACACGTCCATCTTTACAGTGTCGAATTTACCTACTGAAATAGGAATTTTTTTTCGTAAGACAGTACATAATTAGAGGGTGGGCGTAATTACTGAAACAAGAAATATGTTTTCGTAATTTGATTTCAGCTCAGAGAGGTGGCCGTAATTTGCCTGAATTATATTCTTAAGTTACCTACATGCATTTCATGTGAAAAAGGCAAAACAGAATTAAGCAGGTGATTAGGCGATAGTTTGGCAAGTTAAAATAGCCATGGTGATTGCATGAACGAACTAGAAGGCGACACGTTTTCTCTTTCTATTTTCATAGTCAAACTGATTTTTGAATAACATTTGCTAAAGAAAACAAAAATACTATAAGAGAATTGAGCGGTTGGTAGTTAAGCCAACCAGCATTTATTATATATTTTTTTTCTTCTTCCAATTAATGTAAATTGGATCCCTTTTTCAAATGCCTCATATTTCCTTACCAAAAATTTATGTTTCTTCACTAACATTTCTTACACCCTAGTTGATTATGTTTTACCTATTAGGACAATAGTTCAATTCCACTATAAAAAAATCCTAGTTTAGATTCAGTCGAGTTGAACGTATGATTGTTGAAGGTTGCTTGAATTTTTATACATGGGTTATTATTTTTATTTTTTTGATCTATCGAGCTTGAGCGAGCTTCGTATCGTATCTAACAAAAATGTATGTTGAGTCTTGGTTTCGTTTGGTTTGATATGATTTTCACCCCCAGTTTTAGATTATATATTCCATATACGTAAGTAGCGAGTAGCGACAAAATTAAAAGCATAAATGGAAGGTTTTAACTTAATATTCAGGTGGTGTCTGCAAAAACTTTTAAAAATAGATTATGAGTTTTTTTTTTTTTTTTTCTGCACATAATCCGTTTTTAGGTGTTTGCAAAATAAGCTTTTATTTTTGCTTCATGATCCTTCCATTCTTGCGGTTCCAACCACCACAAAACGCCACATTAAACCGACTTATCGGTCATTTTTTTTAATCCAAAAGGTGAGTCAACATTCACTTTTCCAAGCAATTGTTAATTGGAGGGTGCATTCTGCTAATTTTTATATTTTAAATGTGTAAAGTGCAAATAACATAAAATTTAAGGGTGCAAAATGCCGATTATCCGGAACAACTCAAATTGATCTCATTAAATAAGTGTAGCATCAAATTGATCTCATTAGTCAGTATCTTTGTTGATGCGCAAATGCTAATTTATTCACTATATGACAAATTGCAATTAATTAACATGAAACAAATGATAATAAATGATAGCTTCCGTGAATTCGTAATCCACTTTAATTCGATCAAACCAGATCTTAAAAAGCCTTTCTTTTTACAATTTTTTTTATCTTTTTTTAAAATAGCACAAAAATATCTGGCAGACGGATAATTCATGACATTTCAATTGAGCAAAAATTAAATGTTGAAAATAACATGTCCGTCGGCGCTGTCGACACGTAACATGGTCCCATATTCACATGTCTTTTTTTTTATTATTTATTTATTTATTTATATATTTTTACCCATCACATGTCTTTGTTATGCTCACTGTGCATACAATTATTAGTAACAAGAATTAAAAAAATTAATAAATAAATATTGACTTTCAATATAAACCCTTTTGAGGGGACCTCTTTAATTCCTTGGACTTAGGTATAAAGCAACCCCAACCAACACACCATTATAGAGTTATTGTAATTTTCTATTTATGAGGTTTTGATCATATAAATACATAGACGTGTAGCAGCCAGGTTGGCGGGGAATTTATACCCATTGGGTAAGCACCGCTTATTAGATGCTACACCCTGTTGTCAGTGGCGTATCTAGTGTGGTCCAAGGGTGTGCAGCTGCACACCCTTGATTTAAAAAAAAAAATATTTCCTATATATGTATCTTTATATAACTGTAAATCTGTACATGTAAAGCTGTAGCTGAATTGGTAGAGTTCTTCCTTCAATTCCAAGGAGGTCCTGAGTTCGAGACCTTCTTGTGACTAAATATCCTCCTATTTAGTTGTTTTTTTATTTCTAATTTTTCTTTATTTCTATTTTTTCTGTATATTACTCTATTTAGTTGTTTTTTTATTTCTGAGTTTTCTGTATATATTCCTTTTTAAATTCTAATTTTTCTGTATATTATTTAAAATTTAACTTTCAAAATTGGTTTGTAGTTTGTTGATAGAAATTTTTTACCCGTGCAAGATTTAATTTCCATTACATACAATATTTCAATTGTTTTCAATTTTTTTGAATATGCATGAGGGTATTTTTTCATATTCAAAAAATCAAAATCTCCTAATAAAACGTATTTTTTGCTATTTGCAACTCTAATTTATTTACAATTCCTTTAATATTTTATATTATCTAAATTATTCCAAAATTTTGAATGTTATATATATATATATATATATATATATATATTTACATATGTGTACTAAATTCACGTCTGTAAGTATGTCTTTGATATTACGAGAACTCAGAATATGCTACTGAAATACACATTTAGTCACTTGCAACTTTCCTATGTTTACCACTCATTTTTTCTGATTCTCTCTTTTTATGTCTATATATTTCATACATTTAGCCCATATTTTGTAAAATAATCCCTTTACATTTGAAAATATTACATATTTTTATTATTTAATGTGTAT